CTCTAAAAAAATTCTTAAATTCTCTAACTGCTATATATTTGTAAACAATGAGCTTACATGTACAATCGCTTTGCTTTGTTCCTCAGAAAAACAAGAAGTAAAACGAAAATTATTTGCTGCTACCACTTCTTTTCTTGGATTCCATCCTCCCAGACGTCAACAACAAGGATTTGAGATGAGGTCAGGTCATGAGGGCGCATATAAAAAGAACTGAGGTACAGTACTGGTATAGGTAGTCTGTCCACGGACACCTCGTTGTGCTTTCTTCTAAGTCAGAATCTAGTTCCTCTAAGCTTTGGTGATGTTCTGTCTGGTCTCCTTACAATTATATCTTTAGTCTTGTTGTTGACGTCTGAGAGATTACTTATCAGTTCAACTCTCCAGGCTTCGACGAAGATGAAATCTCCGATAAAATGTCGTAAGCCAATAAAGATCAGTAAAAATCTTGGTCAACTGCTTAAGCAATCCAGCTATCCAGCCAGCAAATATCATATTCATAATAGTTCTATATGATTGTTCTTTTTCTTCTCATTATCTCATATTCGCTCTCCCCTCTGCACTTCGCTACTCTTCTTTATGGTCAGATATCTATGTATGAGCATGTTTTTAATTCACGATTTAAGAAGTACTAGTGAAAGGATTACAGCCAGCACACTAAAGAAGCCACACTATGTACCAGTGTAGTCTTAGTTAGCTTAGAATTTGGATTAGTGTGAAAAACCAAGCATGCCTCTTTTTTGTTATATTGTTCTGAAATTGTTAATCCTGCATTTTGACCCCTTCATCAGTAATATAAATATGCTGTGGTAACCTGATTGAACGCCATTTCATAATCATTGTGCATGTTGTTTTTGTGATAATTCAGTGTTTTGGAGACGGGAAAAAATGATGCCCTGCAGGAACACATTAACATGAAAACGTATTGCCCCGTTGTAGTTAGTGCTTTTCTAGCGCTTTGCTACGAACATGGTAGGAAAAGATTGGGACAAAGGCTCTGCATTTGGCTATCAATGTGCACACAATCATGTGATTATTTTATTGAGGAATGTATCATAATTTAAGCATTTATCAATGCTGATTCGCTTCCACATCTCACTGTGACCGACTTTGCGAAGCTGACTGTCCTTTCGACTTCATGTGCAAAATCGCTAATCTGAAATTAGCGCTGACATTCGCATACATATATCTTTAATAATTTTCTATAGCAAGGTCTATGAGGCAAAGGCAAACAATATTCTAATTTCGAAATGGTTAGTCCCAGAAGAAAATGCACCGCAAAATGTAAGAGAACGTTTACATGATTTGTTGAAAGCAGGACAATCAGTCCTCGGAGATTTGTGCATTGTTAAAGTCAAAATGAGTTTTCTTAATTACTCGAGGATTTAATTTGTGAAAGGTTGCTCTTCTTCACGAGCTTGGATTCACCTTTTTCACGTAAAAGTAACGGCGCTCGTTGCTCTTGGGAAAGATAATTTTAGGAAAGAGAGAAAAAGCAAATTTTCTTTTCTATGCAGGCCTGCTCACCTCATCACAGTCACTTCCCCATATTTTGTAAACAACAGCAAACTTGCCACCTTCGTTTATCACCGTCTTTTCAACTAGTTCCGCAGCGAACGGAATTCTTTGTTCTGCAGCGCACCCTGCTACCTGAAAAAAAGCTTTCATATTTTCTTAA